ATATATATTTATATATAGATATATATATATATATGTATATGTATATATATACACATATTTATATATATATCTATCTATATATATATATGCATGCTCAGTTCCCGCACACTTACAACGATTTCTGCGAATGGTTACACAGCGCCCTGTCTGCCACCAATCCGCGACTGAAGGTGATTGTGGAGACCTTCGGTAAGGCAGGCTACGCACACGAGGATGTCAAGGACTATGTAGAGCGTATTGATAAGACGTACGACTCGGGTGTGCATCAGGCAGGGGCCATGCGCAACATCAGCCTAGTCGGCACCATACAGGTGTGTATGTTAGTGTATGGTATATATATATATGTGTGTGTGTGTGTATGTGGTTGTATGTTGGTGCATGACTGTGGGTCCGAACTGTGTATTAGCGCATGTACAGTTGTAGAACTGCGTTTGCTGTGTGTGTATGTGTTGTGCACGGGTATAGGTGTATTTGTTTGTCTGTGCATGCTATGTGTACGTGTGCTGTGATGTATACATGGATACATGTATCGGCGTAAGCTATGTGTATGTATGATGATTATGTGTAAACGTGTCGATGTCTTTGTATATGCGTAGTTGTATGTGTATACATGTAGTTGTACGGTCCATAGGATGACATGTGTATGCGTGCTGTGCATGTAGATATATGTGATTGTACGTAGAACGTTCGGAGTGCAACATTTCATATGCCCATGCTCAGACGTATACAAGAACTCAAGAGTCCTCTCTGTATATCGGTGATTTGCTCATGTCTTCGCTCTTGTTGTATATATACATATACGCATGTCTGTTCATCTGCATATGTATATATGCATGTATGTTTGCTATATCTGCTCACACATTCACCTACAAGGATTTGTTCATGTCTTCATTCTTGTCATATCTATATGCGTATGCGTATGTACATATGCATGCATGTATACTATATATATATATATATATTGTACATATATAATGCCATGCACACATCTATATATGCTCACACATTCACGTACACGCACATACCTTTACACAGGAAGAGACTGGGGGCTACTTTCCAGATGTTATTGACATGCTGAAAGCCAATCCGTTCCTGAGGCCCACGCTGCCCTGGGGTAAGCTGTCGTCACTTCATCACATGACACCCACCGAAAGTGATGATGGGCCTATACTGTGGACGCGGAACGGCGAACAGTACTATGGAGTGGGCGATACCCTGGCCAAGACATACACAAACACAAATGCACATACAAACACGAACACAAACATGCACGCACACGTGAACGAACAGGCCAAGCATGCGGCGTCGTGTCCCCGGGCACAGCCCCAGGCAAATGCCGCGGCATCTGGCAGTGCACGTGTGCGGTTTCCGTCACAGTCTCAGTCGCGGTCGCAGACGCCAAATAGTTCGCCCGCGGAATATGCAGCAGCGCGCGAACACTCGGGCTCAGTCAGTCCTGCGAAGGGTGCAGGTGCACATGCGCACACCCACACACATACGCACAGTCACACCACGCCAAACATGAAGCTTCATGTGGCCAAAAGCGCAGGCGCGGATAAACGCGTGGATACAAACGCCCACATCGATTCGGGCGGACACTCCCCACAGCAGACATCACCTGCAGGCGGGTGCAAGAAGGAGCGGTGGACCACGCCCACCGCGGCGCATACTAAGAAAGGGCAGCGGACTCCACACACGCACACACACATGCCGACGGAGACGAATGGGGAGACGAGCACAGACACACACGTGCACTCGGGCACGCGGACCGGCGGACGCGCGCGCAACGCCAAGGGGACGTTGGGGTACAAGCCAGGAAGGACTAAGAGTGCCAGAGAACGACTGTACACAGACAGGACTACAGTACACGCCGACTTCTCCGGTCGGTTCCCGTACAGACTGCCTGTGGCGGCTGTGGGGCTGGTGCAGGGCATAGAGCCGCACACACGTGGCGGGCAGGCACGGGGGCAGCAGCAGCCTTGCACGTGCCATTTGTACCGTGGACACGCGGGTGAGTATAGGGGTGGCGGAGGCGGCAGTGTGGTTGCCGAAGACGGGACGCATGGCGTTGCTTTGGGTACAGACGCACACACAGACGGGACAAACGGGACGAACGGCCTCGGTAAACACAAGACACACCAAGCACTGGACGACACAAATACTGACGCAGATACGGGGGGGGGATTAAAGGTTAAGGAAAGGAGCACGGAGGGGAGTACCGAACTTTTCGCGAGGTTGGCTGCCGAGGATGGGTTTGCACAGGAACAACCCGTCGTGTGCAAGGAGGTGGTGGCATTCAGCGCCTGCCACATGGCGACGCTCGAGAGAGTGTGCCGCATCGACTACAACGAAGAGCCTATGGATCAGAGGTATGTTTATGCGTATATCACTATGACTATATCTATCTGTATTTGTATCTGTATATATATATATATCTATACATATATCTATATGCAGTATCTATATATATATACTGTGTGGTATCATTACATTTGTTGGTCTGCATTAGACTAGTTTTAAAATTTATATCAGTATGTGTGTCTGTAGATATGTGCAAGTATTAGTTCGTGATAGTTTTGCTGCATATATATATATATATATCCTGGCCACCAGTGTGTGTTTGTACCTTTGGGCGTTATCTGATAGATATGTAGTAGGTGAGAGTAGACCTTGCGAAAGCATCCCAACCAGCACCGACACCACCTACATCCACAGTATTCAGTATTCGTTGTCAAGAGCCTGTCATTATTGGACCAGCAACTAAGGCTGAGTGTTGGAGTATTGTTGTGACTGGCTTGGCTTCTACAGCATCAACCGGCCATATGATGTGGATCAGGCGCTATATTCTTAGCATTCAACGTATATTTCGGGAGATAGTTATATGTCAAATTGCATCAAGACTGAAAGTTGGACCATTTCTGTAACCGCGACAAACGCTGAATGTTAAACCATTACATTCTTGTAATATCATCAAAGTCTCGATAAGATTTGAACCGTTTCTGCGTTTCCCCATTACAGCATCGACCGATCATATTGGGTGGATCAAGCTCGTCTGCGGCAACTGGCGCGAATGGGCATCACTTATGCCACGGCGAAGCTTCGGTCCGGCGACATGTATGTTGGAGGGGTTGGGTTTAGGTTTAGAGTTTTTTGTGGAACCTTATGAAGGATTTGGAATCAGGGTTTGTCGTGTGCCTGAGAGCTCCTCGCGAATTCCCAGTGCCAGCGAGCAGGTCGCATCGCATCGCATTGCTTTTAGCTGCCCTATGGTGCGTCCAATATGTGCATTGATGTGTGGTCATTTGCATCTGATCTATCGAAACGTGCGATGGGCTGCGCCATACTCTCACTTGTGTCCATGTATTTCTATTTTCAGTATTAAGAGCAGCTATTCCGACCATAAATTTAACTTTATAGCTTAACTTATTTTCAGATAACCATAAATTTAACTTTTTAACTTAACTTATCGTCAGATACTTCATTCCGAGAAAAATAGTACATCAATTCCACACTGTGGCGGGGTGCAGCAGCGTGGCGTGGCACTTCAGATATGAAAAATACAACGAGTTCAAGGAGATCCCGAAAGAAACTTGACAACTGCCAACGCACTGAGTGAGTCGTCAACATATATCAATAATATTAGCATACATATCATACATACATACACTGTGGTGTTGTATATGACACATATCAGCGAAGGAGACGCCGGAGGAAACCTCCAGAAACGCAGACTGTTGTCTCGAAGCCTGTCGCCTTCACAGGTATATAAAGGAATCTATATCATAACAACCGCGAACAATCATATAGAACTATACAAACATGCTCTGGACGCACACATCTCGTATGATTTGCAATCGACCAGCATGCCATAAACATCCATGCCGACACGCAATAACGTGCCCTCCACAATTAAGAGAGAGGATATGCAGATGGAGGTCATACATAGGACGATCGATTCCACAACACCCGAGGGATGCGACTGCCTGGGTCGTGTTTTTTTAGACACAAGACGTCTTTGCTAGTGTGGGATGTTTGTCGATACTCCCTCTGATTTGGCCACGAGGACTCCCGCACAGCCATTTAGGATAAAATCTTCACTGTATGCAACGGTCATCGTATGTCCACTGATGTGACGTGGCAGGATAGGGCAGCCATTGGGACTGTACACCTTTTCCTTCGCAGATCTCAGAAGTCATATACTGTGAAAAGATGTGTAGTGCAGTTAAAGGCAGCGGGACTAAGCAAACATTCTTCAAGCATTTCTTTGTAGCAGTTTCCATGTACAATACGGGATCCTGTGTTACGATTTGCGCGCACACAATTGGTGCGCATTGAATGGCAGAAAGTGGGTTAAGCTTCAATTTTGTACCGTTTTATATCCCGCTATAACACACGAATAGAAGAATACAAGTTCGGTACGACTGCTTGTGTCGTGTGTAAGATGATCTAGAGTTCATGACTGACTTTTGACGCTTCTGCACAAGCATGGTTGTAAGGACAATACATGATTGTTGGAAGCCGTCGGAAGCGGTTAGGACTTAGTGGCAGATACATACTAACGTAGAAGTCAGCCTGTAAACCCGATGCGTTGTATTAGCGCCCATGAAATTCAAAACGGTTTGGGAATATACGCCGATATACGCGTCTCTACATACGTGAACTATCAACAATAAATACAAAATCGAACGCTCACTTTGATACATAATATATCTGCGCCAATGGCAGCCGTCCTTGGTGCGATATCAGTACACGGTGCCTTTTCCAAAGTTTGCGCACCGAGTATAGTTTTATCAACATATAGTACAGCTTATTTACCGGCATATATCTTAGTTTATCAGTAGATAGTGCTAATCAATTATTATCGGAATAGAGTATCGTTCTATCAACAATATTAATATACAAGGACCATCGTTTTTACTTCAGTTCTTTAACGTTGCGCCTGTTTCTGTTGGTGCTAGTTGCAACAGATTTCAAAGGGCCCATTTTCAATTTTCTGCGCGTCGTGGTGAAGATTGAGGCAACTTTATATGTACAAGACAAGAGCGATTCTTCGGGGAGAGACGTATTTATCTCATATGGTATATGAAACACCGGTACGGTTCGAGAAAAATTTGGCATTGCAATCATTTTAGAAAGAAAAAAAACAATAACTACATCTGTCGCCAACAATGAATACAACCGCCACTTCCACGTTGATGCCTGAGTGTGCTTGTCGTGAACAAATATTCGCGGTGAATGATTAACAAAAGTTGAATGAGAAGGGAATATACACGTGTCCATGGCGAATATATATCTACGTGAACACAAATACTGAAAGATGCAAAAATAACACAGCACTTATCAATAGACATGTTTGTGACCTTCGTTATCAGGTGTCATTTGTTTATATAACCCGCGTATGATATCACAGCACGGGCAATTATGACTAGATTCAGGCCACAGACAAGGTAGAATATAGTTGTTTAGAGCAACAATTTATTGCTATGTTACCGGATAGTATTGTGTTGAAGGGTTGTCTACCTGCCGACACACGTGCTTAATCGTGTATAAGTTTGTGTTGGATGCAAGCATTGAGACCTTGGGTGAATTTCAGTATGAGATTTGTAGGCGTATAATACTTGGGTCTGTTGGATTAAGGTTTTATAGCTTTCAAGGTTACGTATTTTTTAAATACAACTTCATACAATGATTGCGAGTAGGATTTATGTTTGTAGTGACAAAGTATAGGCGATTTCATTCAAGAGTCAAAAGTTATGTTTTATAGAAAAAAACTCCAACCCCTACTTTTAGGCGCGTGGATGAGATGAGAAATCAAAAATGTGTTTTTAGGTCTCTTGATGACCGCGTACCTAATCATCAATCTGGCACTCTACTACAATAGGTAGCACACACAAGAGGGCAATATAATATCTGCACCGACAAACGAGTTTGATACAGTGATAGGGACAACAACTATTTGATAGAGATTAAGATCGATTTATTAAACAACACACGAGAGAGGATACTTCTATTGTAAGCCTATTGTGTCTGATACAGTGATAGATATTATATAGCACCGTTTCGAGTGCGTTTAGAATATACGATGGCGGGAGACAAAGGCAAGGCCAAGACCGTTAAAGAAGAGGCGGTGATAGGTAAGCTCAATGACGGGGTAGCTACAGCAACAGGGAGTCATACCCGCACCACACGTGGAGGGGTGAAGAAGAAGGAGTTTGCTCCTAAATTAGTCAGCCGACAAGCACCTATAGAGATCCAATCGGACATCACCATGCTAGCTGGCCGGGGCAATAATGGACGTGGGAGGGGGTCTGATAGGGGCCGAGGCAGGGGTAGGGGCAGGGGCAGAGGCTCAGACCTGGTTGAACAGACCGGAGGGTTATTCTCAGAGGGTATAGGGGGTGGTGATCCGCGTAGTAAATCACGTTCCCAGGGCTTCTCGGCTGGTGGTGGGGTGGGTGGTGGCAGATCTGGGGGTGGCGGGGGTGGAGGGGGGTCTGGGGGTAGGGGTGGAGCAAGTGGGGGTGGTGGTGAGATAGGTGCGGCTACTTCGGCGGCGGATGCGCTAGATTTGGACGATGATGATGCGGTAGATGGTATCCAAGACGCGCAGGTGCGTTGCGCTTAGAATGGGATCGATAGTTTAGTTGTGGTGTAGAATGCCCTTTTATATATTTCTAAATTTTANATATATAT